TATCGTGTGCTTACTTGGCTGCATGAACACTGTGTGACTAAGCTTTCTGAAGCTGGGGGGAGGCTCATTTCCTGGCCTTGTGCCCCCTTTTAGCTGCGGGGGGAGTTGTCAACCTGAGGTTTTCTTTGCAGCTTTCTGAGTCTCAAGCTTGGGATATGTTTTTGTATGTTGATGAGCACCTGGGGCTCTGCTTAAGTGCTGAACATCAACACAATGCAGTCTAAGAACAAGTGTCCCAAAATATGTGAAGTAGTTGTCTCAGCTTCTGAAGTATATTTGTTTTGAAAGAATGTGCTATTTTTCTTTAGATGGCACCAACAATCCTGAGAGGATTGTGGGGCAATCATTCCCTCACCTTTATGTTTTTCCTGACATATACAATGCTCACTTCCATCTAACAAATTGGGCAGAGCACCCTCTTATAAAACAACCAGTTTTGCTTCTCTTAGCAAGCATTAATTCCTTGCAACAGACCACATGGTGCCCATTATCTTTCTAACAACATTTACACTTCTTAAAATTTCTTGATCCATTTCCCTTATTTAGCAAACATTCTACCAAAGTACAAACTCTAATAGCTCTAGTAGCTTTTTCCCCATCAATGTATAATTGCAGTTTGTACATTGCAGTTGTTCATTCCATTTTCCCCTGGTCTTTGATAGATTCATATTCAGATCCATATAGCTTGTTGCAAAACATTCACTGTAAATTATTCATATTCTTGGCCAAAAACATGGCATCATCTGCATGCAAAAATAAATGTACATTAATGCCCGAGCCAACACACCTCTAGCATTATCCTAAGCTTTCCATGTATGTATGTATGTATGTATGTATAAATATATATTAAATAACCATGGAGACATTATATATCAATGCAATGCATTCACTAAGCATGTAATTAATTCTCATGCATGCTTTACATCTATCATACTGCTCTTATTGCATTTGGGAACCAACTTTCAACTCCATATTTGCAAAAAACATTCCATAATTCAAAAATTCAAATCTATTCACATTATGATATGCATTCTCTAAACAAACTAACGTATGATCAACTTGCTTTCTCACATTCATGCATTTATGAATGACTTTCTGAAGAACAAAATTCTGGTATTCCTGCCTGGTATAAAGCCTCACTGCTCATTGTTGCATCTTGTATACTTTCAGTCAGAATTCTGTCAAACACTTTCTCAGGCACATTTAGCAAACACTAGTTTTTTGCAGTTGGTTATTTCCATCAAAATTGCTCTGCCTTTCCTCTTCCTCTTTTAATCTTAATACTTCCATGTTCCCTTTGCTTTCTTTGGAGCTATTTTCTTCATTTTATATACATTATGCAATATCTTTGTTCTCATCCACAATATTTTTATTTTAACCTTTGCATCAAACATTCTTTTTCATACAGTATTTCCTATGCAGGAAATCATACAGGACTCATCTTTCTTTTACTTCGTTTCTTTCACTTATTTCCTTTTCTCCAATGCTCATTTTTCCTAAGATCCCATCTTGGCACTATAAAAAATTGGTCTGTCCCACATACAAAACCTCTCTTGATCTTGGTATCCTTCACTAATTCTCTTTCATCATTAGCAATCAAATTATTCCTATATTTGTATTCATTCTTTTGCATGAATAGATTAGTAGATATAAACCACATATGCAGAACAGATCTCTTCCTAAGCAGGTGTTCGCCCAACTATCAGCATTCTCATTCATTCATTCATTCATTCATTCATTCATTCATTCATTCATTCATTCATTCCTAATTCTCATTCATTGTTGGGGTTCCAAAAGGCCCAGTCACTTCTTCCGTACTCTCTTCAGTTCCTCTTAACAGATTTTTTTTTCATCCTAAATCACATTGATTCAGAATGTTACACGTTTTTTCTAAAACTTATCTCTGCTTCTTCCATTATCGCCTGGGTGTAATTTGCAACTGTTACTTACTTTCATACACACTAACAGTATCTAGATCACACCAGTTCATACTTTGTGACATATATTTTATTCATCTCATTCATTATTAAACCTACATCTTCACTTTCCTGCATGTATTCATTAACTCCTTTCCACAAAATCAGGCCACCTTCACTCAGGTATTATACGTACCTTTCCCCTTTCTCTTAGTTTCATGGATGCACAACATCTCCATTTTTCTTCTTTCATTTCAGTAATTAATTCATGCTCTTTACCATGTTTTCTTTTTATCCAAGTTTCAGTTTTTCATACTGGCATGACTGCCCCCAAATGCCCTAGCAGTAGTCTTCCACTATATATCAGGACTTTGGTGGGTCAAAACTTTCTCATACACTTTTTAGTAAGACAGATAATATGAGGACTGCCTTAGTCATACCATTTCCTGCTAATGGTAAGGACATTACCAGTCAGTTTTGGCACATTTTGGCCAGTATACCACAAGCACAACCAACCCTGTTTTACCACAAGCATGCTCACACTATTCTGTGCAAGCTAGGATTCCTAATCTGAAGATCACCCAACATACTGTTGTTCTCCTCCCATTAACTGGGAAGTATATATGCAGCAAACTGACACACACTCAGATGCTAATTGAATATTTCTTTTATTTTAAAATAGCTTATTAGTTAATTCATTAATTAGTAAGTATGTAGGTAAATAACATAACACAATGACCAAGCTCCACCTACTTTCAGTTATTCAGTGCATCATATAACATCTAGCTTAATGAATAACAGTTATAATTCTAATAGCATCAGGAAGTATAGCTCCCTCTTGCTTTCTTCCAATATTTAGATTGTAAGAAGTGATCTGAAAGAACTCCGCGATATAAATTTAAAAGGAGCGCCTTATGGTTATACCCCTTTCTGTGATAGCCGTAGAGAAATGGATGGCTACCGTTTCTGGAAGTCAGGATATTGGGCTTCACACCTTGGGAAAAGGAAGTATCATATCAGGTAGGAAAAGTATGCAAGTCTTCTCCCTCATCTTACAGTGTGTAAAAATTAATAGCTTTTATTTTTGTGCCTAAAGTTCTGCGCTGAAAACCTCCTTGAATGGGATTCACTAAAGGACATGGCAAAACAGAGAAACACTCTGTTCTTTTTATACATTTCAACTAGTGATAATAGCAACATTTTGATTATGCTTACCCATTTTTCAAGGGCATGAAAAAAGCCCTAATGCACTGCCATAATCTTTATTGCTTTTGTAGTGCTTTATACGTTGTGGATCTGAAGATATTCCGGAAGATTGCTGCAGGAGACAGACTTAGAGGTCAATATCAAGCACTTAGTCAGGATCCAAACAGTTTATCCAACCTAGATCAGGTATGCTGTTGTCTGTAATATCTGTTACCAAGAAAAACCTCTGTTATCCAGGATTTAGTCATGGGTGAAAGTGCTGACCTGGCATATTTCTAGAGACCTGCTTGAGAAAGGAGTGATGAGTGGACTCTCACGCTGCTGGGTTTGGGTCACTAGGACAGTGTAGGGATGCTATTAATGTATACTCTGCCCTGCCTGAGCTGAGGTAATCCTTAGCATGCTACTTAACTACTCCAGGCCTCTTGCTGGGGAGATTGCTGTCCATGCTAAGGTTGCCAGTGAAGAGTGGTGCAGGATTCATGTCAACCATGATAACCTTGATCCTGTCCCAATTAACCTTTAGCCCCACATGTGCACCACACTAGATTTGGTTCAGCTGCTGCCAATGAAGGAGCTTTCTGTAACTCAATTGTCATGATTACTCTTTGGTTAATTCTAGACCGGCAGCTGTTATAAGCCTCTGAACAGTGAAGGTCTGATTAAAGAGGTCTGACTCAGACACTTGGTGGATATGGATGATTTTCTAAATACATTTGAGGAATTTCCTCTTTCATTTTTTGGCAATACTGTTGAATCCCTATCTGAGCTGTGAACTATGGAAATGGCTCAGGCAATTGGCAAAATTTGGTTCTAAGAACCATCTTTCCGTTAGAAGAACTCAATTGGCATCTTAGTTTACCAAGATGGTGATAAAGTAGGCAGAAGATTGGAGGAACATTCATGATGGGTCTGACTAAACATTTAATGAGACTCTCCTTCAGACCCATTTGAAATCCTACTCCACAGCAACGGGGTAGCGAAGAGTTCCATTGTTGTTTGCATGGAACAGACAACAATTGAGATAACAATTGAGTTATCAGTGTTTTTCTGTACTAAGGAAAGAGAGACAGAACAGTCAGAAGCTTGGTATGATTATGAGCAGTGTTCATCATTCTTTGCAGACAAGGTTGATCAGATTTCACAGGAAATGACCTTGGGAACTGCTTATCAGGTCATAGGATTCTTTTCATCATGTAGATCTCAAACATATAGACTGAATTAGTGTAAAGATGAGGACCACCCCTTACTTGTTCAACCTTTGCCCTTCCTGGCTAATTAAATTGACAGGTCGGGACTGCCCCCTTGGTTAAGGAGGTAACCAACGTCTCCTTGAATATATGCTCCTTGAGCATATATCTCTGTACGCTTCAAAAAGGCAGTTTGTAATGCAATATTTATTGAAAAAACTCTCCTGGAAGATCTTTCTTATTACAGACCAGTCTCTCATATTTTTCATTCATGGGAAAGTGTTTGAGAAAGTAGTGGTCTCACAGCTACGGATGGATCTGGATAAAACTGATTTTATGAATCCATTTCAATAGGGCTTTGGTATTGAGACCACTTTTGTTGCCTTGTTAGATAACTCTGCTAAAAACTAGATGTGGGGGAGGGCAACCCTGCTAGTTGGACTTCTTGATGGTTTTTGATATCATCAACCATAGTATACTTTTGGGCCTTGGAAACACTATTTTGTCAGGATATGCCCAGAGCTTGGTGCTGTGATATTGCTGTATCCACATATAAGCCACTGACATGTGATGTTCCACAGGGCTGTGTCTTGTCTTGTGTCTTGTTTAACATGTACAGGAAAGCACTGGGGAAGGTTAGTGAGGAGCTTTAGAATATGATACTCTCTCTCTGCTGCTTCCCCCCTTCCAACCCCAAAGAACAATCAGTACCCTTGAAGATTGTCTAAAATTAAATCCAGACAATATGGTGGTACTGCTGATAAGGAAAAATGGATTGAGGTGAAGCTTGTTCTGGATGGGGTTGTACCCCCTCACCCTTCATGAAAGCAGGTTTACCATTTGGAACTTTTTCCTGACCCTCAGATGTCACTGGATTTGCGGGCTGCAGCTGTGGCAAGGAGTGTGCTTGTCACAGTTATAGCTAGTAAATCAACTGCAACCCTTCCTGACAGCGACAGTTACCCACATTTTATATACAACCTGTCTCAGCTACTATAGTGCACTTTATATGGAGCTACCCTTGAAAGTGATCCAGAAATTGAAATTGGTGCAACACATGGTGGTGAAGCACAGGAATCCTATGACAGCTGTACTGAAAGGCTGATGCTGGGCATTTAGAGCCTGATCATCTTCTGGGACTGCCTCGCCCACTGTGATGATTCTGCCTGGTTACTTCAATAAGCAGGAGGAGTCCTGAAGAGGCCACCACTGCCCGACGTTTGACTACATGAGAAAGACCCTTCTCCTCCATGACTCCCAGGCTATGGAGTATGCTCCCTAAGGAGGTGTGCTTGCTCCTGCTCTTCCACTATTTAGGAAGGTGGTAAAAAGACATAGCTTTCACTAAGCTTTTGATTGTTTATTATTTATTAGTTTTTATTTTATTATTGTTGGGCTTTTTTTTCAATGCTCAAAGCTGTCCTGAGTAGGGTATACATTCAAAAGTAGAGTAGAGTAGAGCAGAGTAAAGTAAAAGTGAAGCAGAGTCAAGTCAAGTCATAAAGGTGAGGTAAGGTAAGGTAAGCCAAACCAATCAAGTTGGACCTTTAGTACATAACGTTTTAATGTCTTTTAGCCATATACCAGCATAAGAAAGAGAGAAGTTGGGAATATAGCAGTGGGAGGTCAGAATAATGTAGATTGGACACATGCCAGTTCTCAAAGCTTACCCTTGTCCCTAAATTAACATGGAAGCTCACTTTTTCTTCTCTGTTCTTGTGAAATCAACAGCAGCAAGTCAAGATAAGAAAGAAGTTACTTTCCTAGGAGAGTGCTTGTTTCAATACTATATGTGACATTTACATCACTCTTCCCAAGCAGCAGCAAGGGTCCTCCAGAAGTGTTAGACTACAAGTCTTGTTCTCCAATATACCTGCATTGCCTGAGCTTGATGACAGTTGTAATCCAACCTGCACAGGAAATACAAAATTGGGGAAGACCAATGTACAGTATACTGTTTTCTAAGTAACAATTCTAAATCTTAACTTTTTAGGATCTTCCAAATAACATGATTCATCAGGTGACTATTAAGTCTCTTCCTCAAGAATGGTTGTGGTGTGAAACCTGGTGCAGTGATGAATCCAAAGAAAAGGCTAAAACCATTGATCTGGTAAGTGAGTGTAATAATATTGAGTGAAGTTAAGAAGGAATATCTACTATAAGCAGTTTCATAACAGCGTTTTTCTTCACTGGCTCCTGGAATCTAACCTGTGGTAAGGCTAGATGTTTGTGAGTCAGAGTGCTGTCTCCATTCTTGTTGCATGTAAAAGTTAACAGCTGAACTATGGAAATCATGACATTGTGGTACACTATGAGCTGTGCCTGAATTTGCAGGATTAATAGGATTTATCTCTCCGTGTATTTTGAACTACTTGACATATTTCCGTATTTCAGTTGTACTTTTCTCCTCCGTAGCGTGGGGGGAAGAGAAGGGAAGTCTGATCACACATGGATTAGCTCACAGTGAATGGGTCCCCTTCATGGAGTCTGGCAGCAAAGGCCACAAGCAGACGCTAACTGAGCAGTAGCTTTGTGGATACTTTCTGTATAACCACAAGGTGTTGTTGTAATACCAAGGGACAGAATATATAGTGTGTTGTCTTGGCTCCTCCCCTTTTTCTGCAGGATGATATTGATACATACATGCATTGTTAAAGAATAATGAAATAAAGCAGTCCATAATGCTCATATCTAGATTTTTATTTTATGAATTTGATTGTCAAAGATTTCTCCCAGATTCATCTCCTTGCCCTCTGTAAATTGTAGTGCTGACAGAAGAGTTACTTGGGAATGAGCCACTCAAAAAGATGAATGGAGGAATTGAGAATTCCTGAGAGCTGGTGACAGATGGTTCTGTTTATAAAAAGAATGCTATCCAGATGTTTCCGCAGCTTAATAGAGTAGCAATTGGAAAGCACGACATGTTGTCCTCTGTAAAATATTAATGTCTGATTTTTCCCCAGAGTCATTTGCATAATGGTTGCTGGTATGTCAGCACAGTTCCATTTTATAAGACTGCTCTGGGCAACAAAAATGGTGCATATTTTAGGAGTTTAGTTTGAGAGGCACAGGAGCCCTTACAGTCTAACTCCTGTATTGGAGAACAGCAGAGCCGTGGAAAACCAGTTTGGTTTGTTTCCCTTTCTCAGCTGTCCTTTGGATTCTCTAGAAGTGGAAACATTATTGACTTACCTCAGGATTTTTCGCATTCTGGACTAATTATCTCACAAGGGCTGTAGCACATGGCATTTCTGACAATGTAGCCCGTTTACAACTCATTCATTTTCATTTTAATACATGTATTTTTTTCTTTCCATGGTGATTTTCCTTTTGTAGTGATAGGGTTTTGTTTGGGACTTTAAATCATGGTAATCCCTTTTCTTAAAAAAAAAATGTATTTCAGTGCAACAATCCAAAAACTAAGGAACCTAAACTAGAAGCAGCTGTCAGAATTGTTCCTGAATGGACAGATTATGACTCTGAAATACAGAAGCTAATAAATCGTATCAGAAAAGAGAAGAGAAGCAGGACCCTGTTCCATCCAAAAGGTGAGGCAAAGGAAAAGCTTCTGTAGCTCATGAAATAGCCCTGGGAGGAGAGAGGACATGGCTGGTTTTATTTATCTGCCTTGAGGATGTAACATTACATGGAGGTCTCCTCTAATGTTGCCTCCATAATCCTATGCAATTGCTTGGACTCAGAGGGTGGGCTACTCCACGAGTACAGTTCAGTGAAGCTAATCTTAATTCTTAAAGTCAGTTTCACATTCCATAAAAATGATTTCAAAATTCTTCCCTGGCTTGGTGAGGTGCCCCAAACATTTGCCTTGGGACTCCCACCTCCTCTTACCCCACTCATAAACATACTTTGAGGCTATACACTGCAGCCTACAGCACTGATTGCAGCTGTTAGGGAGAGCACCCAGCTGCAATCTACTGGGTCATGCACCACCTTTCGTTTGGAATTTTCAGTCAGGAAGAAGTACCTTTTCTTTTGTATCAGCAACTCAGATTTTTTGCAAAGCGGCCACACAAACATGCCCAGCCAGCAGCATATACGTGATGGGTTAAACTCTGCAGATAGTGGACATGACATTGCAGTGCAAGCCCCACCCTGTTGTACAAACAGGGCAGGGTTGCATTGCAATGTCTGTACACCATCCTGCACACTCTACATGATGCTGCACATACCTTATATTGGAAATTAACTAGCAATGTGCTATATTTTTTCTCTTCTGTGATGGGATTGAGGAGCTATTTGTTCACTCAGAAGCTACTGAAGCTCAGAGGATGAGGCACTGATTGACATTTTTTGCATTCAGCAGTTGGTTTAATAAGGGTAACTAAAATGAGGCTTTTAAAAAGTTTGTCAGAAGTCAAGTTTAAGGCATCTTGCCAGCATTTACAATTTGCTGATCTGTGTCAGATATAACCTGAAGATGTCTAAGTTTGTAAGCCATTAAAGTAATGAAATTTTAAGTTAGTAATAGTTAAAATGAATTAGCTTTTTTTTCCTAAAAAAAAAAAACCACTTGGGTCCTTGTATTTCCCAGCATAGGTCTTGAACCTATATAATATAATGTAGGGACATAAACAATTAGAAATAATGTTTTTCGGGTTAGTTATAGTTATAGTTCCCAGATATTAGATTTTAGAATATTTAGAATAAACTTTACCCTGTAATATAGTGCAGAGAATGTTCAGTCTTTGTATAATTGTATCTTTTGTGTACCTATGGATAATAAGCCTAGAATCTGTGAGATTGAATTTATTCTCCTATGGATTGATTCATGCATAAAATATTTGAATTCATCACTTGTTCTATTCAGAAATGTAGATATGTAAGGAAATAATCATAGCTCTTTTTGAACTGCTCTATATCATTACAAGCAAGGAATTTTGTAGTAGTGCACAAAATATTCCAAATTTGAAATGCCCTTTTTTAAGTTCAAAGCAGCTGTTCCAGCCTTACAGAAAAAGTTCCAACCACACTAAAAGCAATCCATGCCTCAAACTACTTCCAAGAGTTTGGGATTCAAGATGTTTTACACACTGCTAGTATGTTGACTCTGTACTTGGCTTGTGACAATGCTGCTGGAAACCAAGTTGGGTAGGAATAATGTAAACTGTGCTGCAGTGCTTCTGGAAGACTTCAGGAAGGCAGGCAGGCTGGGCTGGTTGCCATCCACTCTAGCCAGGTTGTCATAAGCATAGACCAAAAGTTGTGGCTGAATAAAAAAAAGAGGATCGTAAGAGTGCTGAGAGGACGACATCAAGAGAACATTGGTCAGTTTTAACATTGTCCTATTTTGTAATTTTGTGCATTCAGAATTAATAATATTAAATTCTTTTACAGAGTCCAAACATGATGAACTTTAGGAATATTTGACAAAGCTGACCACAGGCAGAAAAGAAAAGCTGGTTTTAATTAATGTAATTAAGATACACTGTCTGTATATTTTAAGAAGACTCTGCAATTTTTTAAAAAACTGCTTTTACACTCATTGCATGTGGCATAGAACGAACAGACTGTAAAAGATGCCCAATAAAGCATATTTGGAAATGACGGTATCTGTGTCTTTCTGCAGAAAATAAATGGAACACTTAATGCCATATTTAAGTTTTAAAATGCTTCATGTAAGAACTTCTATAACAGTATTTAATACTTAAGACAGTATTTGAAATTACTTTTTATTAATCCTTTTATTCAGCATGTTTGCACATCACTTTTAGCAAATTCTATTTCAGTGAACCCCCTCCCTTTCTCCCCAGAGACTTCTGCATCATGTTCCAGTTTTCCCCAAAAACTGCAGTGAAAAATATATTCACACAATATCACTGCAGTCAAAATTTTCCATCTGCAAAATGTGACCAATGGCGGGGGGGGGGGCAGCAAACTTAACAAACTCATGCCATAGATCCTATATTACCTCACATTATCTATGGTAGAAACGAAGAGACTGGGACAATTCCTATGGATAATGGTGGTGGCATCAGGAGCAACCCATTAGCTCCACATAGTGGAACATGGCAAACTAGCAATCTCTGTGATTTTTTTTTTAACAACTTGCAAACAGCATTTTTAAAAAATGATCAACTCTTCAGAAGAAATACTGTAAAGATGAGCTTCTTGAGATCAGAAGTACGTAACTTTGTCATAGACTCTTAATTGAGGAGGGCTTGGACCCCAAGATTAGTTCTGAACTCTTTACTTCTGAAATGTTTAGATCATTTGGAAGCTGTTGTTGGTTGTGCAAGGCTTCTGTTAATGCAGGTTACCATGGCTTTACAGCTGGGCTGGAAACATCAAGCAGCCACTTCCTTTACTAGGATAAGGCATTCTACAATCTGCAGGGATTTCACATTGACCATGGCATCACCACATAACTTGTTCTGCCTCAAGCTTATTTATAAGTATGATTAAAAATCACTGATTCTTCTGGGATGCTCATTAATTTGCTCCATTATGAAAAATGTCCATTAATGAGAAAGCCTGTCCTATTGTCTGATGCTTTCAGTGACCTTAATAAAGGATCTTTCCCAGTATGATATATATTCCTCTGTATTTAATTATCTCAGCCTTGTTAGCTCACTGATGATCTCTGGAGTAGAGGCTTGCAACTTTTTCAAATTAGTTAAAAAAAAATCCTGGAACTCCTGATCAAGAGGTTCTGGTGATTGAAAACTGTTTGAATTAACTTTTTTTTTTTTTGGCCTTTAATCTCTCCTTGGGTTTTGTAGGACACCGTTTGAAAAACCCTGATGTTCAGCTTTCAAGTTGCTTGCTGGCCAACTCTTACAATAAAGTAGGACTGCAGAACTTAAGGAACCATTCAGAAAAGCTGCTTTGGTGTGCACACAGCTAAAACGTGTATCTGTCTCTTTTAAAGCAGCCACTTCTTTTTCCAATGTCAGACAGAGCACCCATTTGGAATCAAATATTGCAACCTCCCACTGCAAAATACAGTGAAAGAGACAAAGTAGGTAATGATGGGAAGAAAAAAGTTTATTACTTTAACCACTGTTTATAGCCCATAGCTTCTAGCAGAGGGGGAAGACTCAGCAATGGTTCCCATGTATTGTCACATCATATATTAATGGGTGAAAGCCTCAGAAGTTCTAGTATACCCCCTAGTAAATATTTAGTATTACTCTGGTTTCATTCTGTTTATTTTAAAGAAGAGTACGTTCCAAGCATTTTCCCACTAAGAGAGGCAATAGTTGATAGTTAACTAGAATTTCAAATTTCAGACTCAGCGAGTAGGTGAAATGCACACCAATGTCACCAGTTTAATATCAAAATTCACTGCCACAAAGTACCTTCCAGATTTGAAATTAGGAGAATTTAAAAAGTACATAATGTTAAAATCCATGGGTTGTTTTATAAAACACTTCAATTTGAAAATAATTTACTTAATTTACTGTAATTATGAACAAAACTGGAATTCTACATTTCAGCAACCAAAGCAATTTTTCTCGTTAGTCCTAATTTCACAGAGGAATATATTAATTTTGCAAGTATATGGTTATTCCATTGCTAAAATGTCATTAGTTGCACAATTGTCCCCCCCAAACTGCATGAAAGAACCAACTGATTCTAATTCGTGTCAGTTTGTTAAAGCAGAGAGAACCTGGGTGGCTGGATCAAGTCAGGCCTGGTTTCTAATGCAGCTTTTTTCCTTCATTTGAGAATAATTGGTGGGGGGGGGGATTTGTTACTTAAAACCCTTGAACTTTCCCTATGACCTTTTTCTCATAAAGTTTCTGCTCCTTCCTTTAATGTGCATGACAAATCAGTCCTAGGTGCAAATTGTCCATTGGGCTATTTCCAGCAGTTTCTCATGTTTTCCTTTATGTAGACCACCACATCTCCTGAAAGTCTTTGTAGACCACTATGCCAGTTAGGGGATGATAATATGGCACCTGAGAGCACTGAACCTTGGTTTTTTTAAAAAAAACATGGCTGTAGTCTTGAGGGATTACCAAATATTTTGAAAGTTTAATAAAGATGACAGAAACTCAAACAGGATAGTGACTACATGAGATTTCAGCCAATTTCTACCTACCTCTAGATTGAGAAATAGATATTTGTCAATAATAGGGAGAAACAGATATTTTCATAATGTGAACTATTTGCAATATCCCCATAGCCCACCAGCTGGAAACTAGTAAGCTATACGACGAGTTTATAAAAGTATAGTCATGACTATAGGCTATTCCAGATTATAGGTGGCCGTTAACTTGGTAGAATGTTCTTCTGGGTATTAACATAAATAAAATCAGCACTTGTAAGATCAGTGCCAAGGAAAAACATTGAGAATGAATCAACTCATTGAATGTAAGGGTTGGAAGGGTCTTTGGAGATCATCTAATCCAACCCCCATCCCCTGCAAGACCTGCCAACATCCACAAATGGATCTCCAGCCTGTTTCAACATCTGCAGAAGAGAGTCCACCACCTTCCAAGGGAGCCTGCTCCACTGTTGAAGAGCTTGCTCTTTTAGGATTTTTTTTTTCCTGATCCCTAACCAAAATCTACTTCCTTGTAATTTAAACCTGTTTTTGTCCTTTTTTTGTTCCTATAGAAGAGAAAAATGAGAATACTTTTTTTTACCCTCAGCTGTTGAAGACCATCATAATCTTTGTGCTCTTGAAATATACCGCTTAAGAGAAGCTATTTTGCAAAGCCAAAGTTCTCATTTTTTCACATTTGAGGCATTTAATATTATGGATACTTTTTGGTAGCAATTGATAACTGAACTGCCTTTTAAATTGCTTCTTTAATTTCCAAAGGAATGAAATAAGTTCCTTTTTTCCAATTTCCCCCCAAATCTACTCAGAATCACATGGGAACAACAGCATAATAAAACAATTTCTATTCATTAATTGGCATAGAAACAATTTAAGGTTTGGCACAATTGTTAATTTCCGAATTCATTTTGCCCCCCCCTAAAAAAACCCTTTCTGATTGAGAGTTTAAAGCAATTAAAACAACTATGTGCTACTGCTGAACACTAAAGTATTTCTTTACCTTCAAAAGAACATCATAGTTTTCATAGAATCTACCTCCTCCCCGGCCTCCCACCCCCGAGAGCTTTATTCTGGCAACACTTCCAAGGCAGTGTTTTATTTCAGTTGACCCAGAAGCATGGCTGAACCTTTTGATCAATTCATGTGCAGGCCTGATGGGGCCTCTAGGATAAGCAGTTCTGGCAAAACCAATGCAGCGCAAGCCACATCCTATACAAGGACTCGGTGACTGAAACCAAAGGGCTGTCTTTCCCCCAACCCCTCTTTTTATAATGGCACTTTATGCAGTCTTTCAAGATGTCCAAAATACAAGCATGATTGTATGATAGATGTAGGTGACATCTATCTTTCCTGGCATTTATGAAGTCATTCCTAAGGAGAGAAACAAGAAAAGCACTCCGTGGGTCCTCATTCAACAAGGTGAGGTTCAACCACTATTATTTTTAGTTGTTTGAGACTTGCATTTGAAATGGACAGGGCCAGATACCTGTTACTTATGAGAGCAAGAAAGGTGAAAGATGCACGTCATTTTGTTAAGTGTCCAAAACAGCGTTCTTGAAAAGGACTGGATGTGAAAGACAGTGCAAGTCCAAAATTATATCCCACGATGACTCCAGGCTCCATTTTGAACACAGTTCACAATACCAGAATTCAGTTACAGGAAAAAGACTTTAAGTCGTGTCTATGAGTTATTGCTCTATGGAACAATAGAGATGTGTATAACAGTTGTGAAGATGTTCAACATTCTCACCTATCACCCCTCAAAAATAAATCTTCAAGAGCAGAACAAAGTTCTGTTTATTATGAGCAACATCTCAGTCTTGCTCAAATGTCAAGCAAACTTTGAGTCGAAAATGATTCTCTGCCACCTGATAAAAATTTAATTCTATTTAATTTTTAGAAGCAACCAGAAGGAGAGGTTTCAATCAGAGAAAATTGCCCTTGTAACATTATGTTAGAAAACTGTCTACAAACTGCCTGCAGTGGCCAATATTCTATATTATGTAAAGGGTCATACAGATGTGTAATACTTCCAATAGTCAGTTGAGACCTTAGCATTTCCTCTTGTGGAAACTAAAGGTAGAGTAAATTATGTTTTGTTATTTCAAGTGACTAATTCCCACAAAAGGGCACTAATGGTTTAAGTAAACTTTAAAGTGCTTTCTTGAATCAGTTTCTTCTCAAGGATGGGTTTGTCTTGAGCTGGAGCTTTAAACTCATCAGGACTTGATGCCCAGAACTATCAAACAAATCGGTGTTATTAACATTGCTGGGTTTGCTTCCCTTTTGGGCTATCACCAAAAAATTGGTTCTCATTAAAGTTCTTGTTCAAGGACTAAACCATAATTTTAAGTTACCTAGAAAAAAATACAGATTGCCAGATGCAAAAAAAAATAAAAATAAAAATAAAAAAAGACTGTAGCAGTTCTAATTGAAATGGAATTTAAATTTGAAAGGTCCTCCAGAACTGAATGGGTCGAAACCTTGCCAGGAATTCCAGGCTCGGTGAAAAGGGTTTCCTCCACCTTGCTGACTCTCAGCATCTAGTGGGTCTTCTCCTGCATCAAACTTCCTCCGCATTTCTAAAAAGATACAAATATGGTGACAAACTGAATCTGACATAATAGACAAAGAGACTCTAACCATTCATCCAAAGGTTGTAATTCTAAAGTCACTATGGCATCAACAAAAGAAAAAATCAAAAACAATGGTGGAAGTATGGGCACAGCCACACCCCTAAAAAAAATGGTATGCCAGGAGTGTTTTGGAACTTGCTTATTCCTCCCAGACCACAATTTTTTTCCAGAGGCAAAGTGTTATTCAGAACCTGGGGGCAGACTTAGGAGCACTTAAGTGGCTGCTGATGCAAAAAGTGAAGTCCACCAGAGCAAACAAAATTATGACATGACTAGAAAAAACTGAAAAATACTCCTTTTCCAAAAGATTATCAACAATATGATGGAGAAAAAACTACTAGTCCTCTCTGCTTCTTGTGTCTGAAAATGAACAACCTACTTATTTTCACTGAACAGAGAGAGCAGTATTAATATTTTGATTAGCGTTAAACTAATTCTCAGCAACCAAGTTTCAGAACAAGGACCTTCTGTCATAAAGCTTTAGGAGATGATTTTCGACATTTCTCTGCATAAGATCTTTTGCCCAAAATGTGACTCCTTGCTACCTCCAAAAACATGAGAAACTTTGGAGCTTGCTGTTTTTAATAGCTTGTGAAGATAAATGTTTCCTGACCAAACTGGCAAAATTATTGTGGTAGACAAATATTATTCTAATATTGCTATATGGATTTTTCACTAAAAAAATCTGTTAGAAATTATTTTTCCAATTTTTTTCCCAACTGGCCTTCAAGATTGCTTAAATTACATGATAATTTCCAATAGATTATTACTAAGTCAAGGGCTTTCTCCCTCAGAAACTGTTCAGAGGATGGACGCCCCAATATTACAAACGCACTTACCATTCATTAGCAGGGTCTAAACACAGCTTAGTTATTAGGACTTATCTGCCATAAATGGTGTCATTTTGTACAAGTATTTGCCTGAATGAGGGCACAATTTCCATCATTCATCATGTCTCTTATGTATTGGGCCCTATGGTGGTATTTTATAAAATGTGAGAAATCAATTATTACCTTGCTTCAGTATGTATCCTCATCTCTTTTTAAGTTTGGGAAATTTATGAAAAGGAGTTATTTTCATAAAAGAAAGGCTAAAGACACCCACGGGTCAAATTAGTGCAGCCATCTGCTGCTGGTTTCTCACATGACATTTTGCAACTTCCCAGTCTAGTCTACAGCCCAGGTGACCATCTCAATGCTAAGTACAGGTAGTCCTCGCTTACCGACTGTCTCGTTTAGCAACTGAAGCTACAATGGTATAAAATCCCCCAGCTTTCTGACCAATCCTCACATTTACGCCATGACAGCGTAAATGGTCCCATGGTCACATATTCACCATTTGTCTGCTTCATAACCAGCTTCTGACAAGCAGAGTTAAAGGAGAACACAGAAATCTCAAGTTGTGGTCACGTGATGTCTCGCTTAACACCCGCAGATGATTCACTTAACGACTGAATGGAAAATGAGGCTGTAAGCCTGTCGTGGTCATGTGATCTTCTACTTAGCAACTGCAACACTAGGCGAAGGAGTTGTCAGTTCCGATTGTGGTTGCTAAGCGAGGACTATCTGTAGGCCTCATCCTGCTTAGTTGCCAAATCTAGATAAGGCCGGCCACTGGCTGAAACCTG